AAAAAAAAATTCAACAATCCTTCTAGAAAAGATTTAAATTTAATTCTTCCTTCCTACAAAAATAACTGTGAAAGATCACCAGCATCTACAGCACAGGAACAGAGCATGGGCAGAGAATGGGTCCCCTCCTTGCCTCTCCAGTGCGCTTCAACTCAAGCTCTAGTCTGGTCGGTCTAGAGGCTGAAGATTCATCCCATTTCAGTGCACAGCTAATCATTAGCCACTTCTCCATACATTCCCATAGGAATGCAAATTACTGCCAGCTGTGCTTTGTGCTCTTGTCAAGTTGGAACAAGACAGCAGCATCAACTTTCCTGTGCAGTCATCAGTGTGCTGCCATAAAATAAAGCAGATCGATACTGATGCAGGTCTGCCCTGAACTGGATATGAATAATTTTGCATTCCAGTGCCTTTCCATACTGTCCCTAGTCATAGGCATATCAGACAGTTATATCTTAAATCAGCAAATTTCCTGCTATCTCAGTCCCATCAGTCTGCATAATCCCTTTCATGATTAAGCTACTCTTGTTTTAAAGAACTCCTTGCTCTAAAATAGTGCAACTGCTCTTTCACAGCCCTCAGCACACAATCACTTGATTCTGCTGCTAAATAGATGAAAACATGTCTCTGATGCAGAATGTCACTAGGAAAGCAGACAGGAAACATGGTTACTGAAATAGCTCTGTGATCCAGTCCAAGCCCGTCAGACACTGCCATCCTCATGCAGCAACGTCGTCATAAATCTGAAGGGAGTCAAAAGCTTCCATAGAAGTTAAAAGCAGAAACAACACATGCAAACCAGATTTCTGTTTTTAGGCAAAAGCACGAAATACTGCAACTAACAGTATTTACTAACACAGCGAGGCCAGTGGAGTCACTGGTGCTGCTACAGTGTGAGGCAGAAAATCAAGCTGGAAAAGTCTCCTCTTTGTTGCCCTGTGTGCTTCAAGAAGAGTTGCTGGTAGCAGTAGTTTGCATGCTGACTACTGCAGTAATTTTCTCGAAACTTAGCATAGCTGGGTGAAAAATACTGAATCAATTACAGTCAGCATTAATATTCCACTGAAATAGAGATTAGGGTCTTGTCATCCTGTTCAGCATTCAAAAGGTAAATAAATAATTCCTCACAAAGTCGTACAGAAACTCCAGACACTCAACCTCTTTGAAAACTCAGTTTTATTTAGAGACCCAAATGAAGATACAGGTATTTTACCTGAGTTTTAAAACACATTGTAAGGCTGATTTCCATAATTCTGTTCTCTGCCTTGTGAAGTTATATCGATGCTGCTTTCTTTAATCTGCTCTAGACTTGGCGGAGGTACACTTCCAATTACTGTTTTCTTTCTTTTTTTTTTCCAGAAGCTGTACTGCATCATAGACATCACCTAATTTTATCAAGTGCCTATAGGTCAGGGATCTGGCGTATGTCATTTCACCTCTGAGAGGATATTTCCAGTAAATGTAGTTTTCAGTTTATACTTAAGAATGGACATGGAGATGACTCAAAAACTTCATGGTAAATTGCAAGTGAACTTTAGAAATTTGATTTGGCAAAGATAGCACATGTACGGTGTGTTGCAGTATGATAATCTGTAGCTGTCCGAAGAGGTGATCAGCAGTTTTTCA